ATGTTTTCCTGTTTATCTTCTGTTAATAAATTCATAACACAAACAGCTTTTCTGGCATTATTTAAAACATTAGATAGATTATATAAACTGTAAAACTATTAATAATAATTGGATTAATATTATTATTAATAATACTTTTAATGATTTCTACCATCGTCGGTCCTTTTTTTCTGCTCTGTTGTCAACATGTACAGTAACGGGAAATCCAGACTCTTTGACAGTTTAGCGTTAGCCGCTAGCTTCACCAGCCGATCACATGGTCACGTCTGCGCACTCCAGTTCTTTAGAACCTCCTTGGGTGTGACTGAAAGGAAAACAGCTCTCCACTGTTTGCTATAAATAATAATAAAAATAAAAATAAATAAAAAAAATAGAAAGGTAGCAGTGTTATAGACCAGCTGGAGGTTTCTCATGGGTAATTCAGAGGCGCCCTGAACATTTTGATGGTTCCTACAGGTCAGACAGACACCCCAGATTTCATTTTCACTTCCACGCAGCCAGTTCTGCACCTTCAGTCTCCACGCTTTCATCTGTTTTGTTGAAGTCCTCGATCTGGTGCACTGAGAGCTCTTCATCTGAGGATATGCTTTTAGGAGGTGACATGCCCGGAAGAGAGAGGGCCGCTGCACCATCATCATCAAAGTCTTCTTCCTGATGGAGAAAAAAAAGTCAATGAAGTAAAAACTGGGACTGTGGCTTATTTCTTTTATCAACTTCTATTTCTTTCTCTAAGTAAACTGATATGCCAAGACAACAGAGAAAATACAGGATTGAGTATGTTCGTTTATTAGATAAAAGATTAATGCATAGTTCTCTATGTCGTGCTTAATAAAGCTAAGCTCAGAATAGGAAAGTTTGATGTGAAACTTTCTAGCACAGATTTAAATATAATCTTTTTTTTCCTGTTTGGAACGGCTTCTACGTAAACCAGAAAAAAAAATTGCTCAGGAGGTTTTAAATTCTGCTGATGTAGAGAAGGAAGGATGCTGCCGTCATCCAAAACAAAATCTCCTAAAATAAGAAAAGTAATCTTAAACTAGATACTGCATAGTGGTAACATATGAGCCCCACATGCACACAAAGCACCAATGCACCAGAACTCAGAATTTTTAAATCAGAGCTTAACAAAAAATAAAAACAAAAAAATCTGAAGCTCCTATGTTTAATAGTTTTTGAGTTATAAGCATTTTTCTATGTCCAGACACCCCCGTTTCAGATGGAGCCCCCTCCTCAAATATGGGGTCTATCTTAAAACCGTTGGCTGGCRCAGTGTAGGTGAGACTCATCTACAGTCCTGCCAAATTTCATGTTGATCGGTGCAGCTGTTTCCGTGCTACATTTGACCAAAAATCACTGTGAAAAAAAAGCTGTACGAAAACAATATGACCCTTGCTT